TTGAACAAAACTATATTTTATTTCTCCTTTTATCCAGAAAATATAACTTTTGAAATAGAAACTGAATAGCATATGGATTGAAAACAAATGCCAAATGATGTAAAATAATTCAAGTGGCCATTTAGGTCAGGGGTTGGTGAGGTAAAAGATGAGGCAAAGGCATGTGCATTTACCACAACTGCCACTTGGTATTATGATTTCCAAAATTTTCAAATCTCATAGCTACCTTCTGTATTAAAGACAACTGCATATATTGCAGTTTGCATATCATGAATTGTGTTTGCAGCAAAATTCACTACAGACAGCAAAAAAATAATTAATTCAGCTCTATTAAAATTCATTTTTTGAAACGTTTTTTATTTTTATTCCTCAAATGTCTATGAGATCAAATTTATAAAACATTTATTTGCAGTGTTAATTTCAATATACTAACTAGTGATTGTTGACATGTATACATCATGTACATGTACAATCATTAGCTGATCAGCTCTCTTTTTTCATTATTTTTATATCAATATTAATCTTCAGTGTTTTTTTAATAAGACTCAATAATCTGTATTCATCATTGGGACAGGTAGGTAAAGAAGGTCCCTTTGATCTTGGATTTTTTTTAATGGATTTTGACAGCACTAAAGCATGTAGTTCCAAATTATAGTTGATCTTGGCTTCTTAAGTGGATTCTGACAACACATTGCATATAGACACCAAGTGTAGGTGATCTTGGGTTCTCTCATATGGATTTTGACAGTACTTTGATTATACATGTAGTTCCAAGTATTGTTGATCTTGGCTTCTAATGTTGGTTGTTCTTTAGTTTCAGCACTTTACAAATAGTTCCCAATTGCAAGACAAGATGATAGTGGCTTCTCCTGTAAATTCTGTCAGTACTTTGCCAAAAGTTTCCAAGTAAAGTTTAACATTCCAGGATCTTTCACAACAAATCACTCTCTTACATGTACTTGAAGCCTGAAATTAAATGTCAGAGTAATTCTGTCAGAAAATCAACCATGATTGACATTTAAAAGCACAATCTAATTCATATTTTAAATAAATGGGGAATGTGTCCATGGGACACAGATGATGCCCCCGCTTGCATATAAAGTTATAAAGGAACATAACTACAGAACAGTAAGAGTGACACTACCCAACTTTTTACTTGATCTGAGTTTTGTTGAAATAAGTAATGTGTATAAGTTTCATAACATTTGGATGAGGCAAACTAAAGTTAGAGAATGGAAACAAAAAATTCAGCAATTTTTCCATTTGTAAAGGGGCATAGTTCTAGAACAGTAAAAGTAACCGGACACCACCAAAAAAAATTCAAATTTGATCTGTGTTTGTTGGTAATAAGCATTTTGTATAAGTTTCATAACATTTGGTTGAGGCAAACTGAAGTTAGAGAACGGAAACCAATTTTGGGACGTACGTACAGACAGACAAGGGTAAAACTTAATGCCCCCATCTGCTACGGCGTAAAAAAATGAAGTATTTGTGGCAACAATAATGAGCAAACAAAATAAAATTACATGCACAGTCAGTGTAAATAGTGATTTTGTTTTTATATGTTAAATACAGATTTTTCAGGGCATGCTGTTTCGCTGCCAGGGACAAGTTATTTCTCTGCCTAAAAATTCTGAAATGCAGCTGAGCTACATTTGTACTCCTCGCCAACCAAATTATGCTGAGGTGTCTTGTACCTTGTTTGGAATATGGGATACACACATTTTGTATTTAAAAATACTAAGCACAAAACAATAATGCATTTTTCAACTCAAATGTATGTGTTATTTGGTAAACAAGATAAGCCCTACGTGTATGTTTTAACCTGATACTTGACGTTATGAAATTTTTTATACCAAAGAGAGATGGGTTTAATTGTAAACAAATTGTGATCAAGACGAATCCATCAATAAAATGTTTACAAATTAGGCATTCATATTCTCAAAAAAACAAATGAAACAATCGAACCCCTTGAGCAGGTGGACAGGGGTAAGGGAACATGGGAATGAGGGATCAGGAAGCGAGAAAAAGGGGTATCATGTACATGTCCGTTAGTAAGCCTGGTCTGAAGTGAAAATAAAAGTAACTAATTTGGTAGAAGTAAATCTTATGAAGATTGTAAATAGAAAAACCCTTTGATCTCGTGTGAGTCACTTTATTTTTAAACAATAAAAATAAACTTAATATATCTTTATTTTATTGTGTTATAGAACTATACTAACAAAAGCATGATTTAGATTAAAGGAAGGGTACAAACAGACTCAGGGTGTGAATGTTCTAGGGATGAACCTGAATTGGAGCGAACATGATAATTTTTGGGTGAAAAGACAATAATTCGAAAAGAGGGTGGATGAATAATCTGGAAAATATATTTTGCCATTTATTGTCTGGGAGCAAGAGAGATGGCAGTAGAAGTTAGGGGAGAAAATTTTATGTGTAAAAGGGAAGAGAAATAGAGGTTGGGGATTATAGACGTTAACGATAAATATTTTACTCCATTTGACCCTAACGTGGCTACGAAATTAGATTTTACGAATGACGATATAAAACCAAGACTCATTTGAAGCTAACGTTAGCCCAGATGCTGAAAATGACTATCCCCTCCACTTTGACTGTTTGACACTGATATTTTTTTCAAAACAGGCTAATACATGTTCAAAACTTGCCAGTTAACAGGTTAAGGGTCAAGTAAACACATAAATAAGCCATAACGATTATACATAGAACAGAAATTTAGCCCATGCAAGATTTCAGCCGCAGTGATTTTCTACAGTAGCGAGTATTTTGAGATAACCCCCCACTTTGAATTTTTCGTGATACTGATAGCATTTGGCTGTCTAATATATTAAAATCTATGTTTTCTTATGTAATGACTCTACCTTCGTCGTTGTCTATTCGCCACTATGTCTGTTATTCATGTACATGGTCGTATTTATCAGTGCAGTATGATGCTCAGCAATGGCGACCCTGAAATTTCTGTTGTCCGATTATGGCGCCAAATTAGAGGGAAGCAACTCGCGCCAGACAAAATTATCGTATTTCACCAAAATAATTAAAATGTCGCTTTTTTATAACAAACAGTAAAATGTTAATCACATTTATATTTAGCTATCGTTCATTGATATAATTACAAACATTATTTTATTTAAAGACATCAATAAAAATTCACAAGAAAGTAATTAATGGGGTGCATTGAAATCAGACCTCATAGGGTAGAGGGGTTAAACAAAAGCTCGTAACATTTTTAAAAGCCTGGTGACCCCCATTTTATTTTACCTTAAAATGCTTGAAAAATTCATAGCTTTGAAATATCCGTTTTTAAAAAAAAATCTACCGGGGAAATTTTACGAAAAATCGATTTAACTAATATTTTTAGCCTTAAACTGAAATAAGAAAATGCCAAATTTAGACATAAATCTGAAAATAAAAGGATTTTTCAGTCTAAAACAACCAAGGGGAACGTTTACATTTTAATCATACTGACATGGTTCTAAAAGTCTTTGAATTTGATGTAATCGTTATTGTTGTAAGGGTGGAACAGTTTGGAAATAGGGTCAAAATCGCACATTTCGCTTCCATTTGAGGGGAAAACGAGCCTGGTGACCCCCTTTTGTCTTTGCATTTTTGGATTCAGCATAAAAAAAATCTACAAAATATGTGAAAATAAAAAAATTCTACCGGGGGTCCTTATTGGGGTGAGCCATCTTAATAAGGGTTTTTACCGATTTGAATTTTCCTTGGAGTTCGTTTTTTTTGTTATTTTACTTTTAAAAGGTGTGCTTTAAGAAAAAAAGGTATGCAAATTGTCTAACTCAACGCTATATACGTATAACCATTGGCCGCTGGACGTTATACAGTTATCAATTATTCAATGTTCGTATATGTAGCATGTTGAAAATCATCAACATATACAGGTTCATGTGGTTTGCCCGAAATATAGGCTATCGAAATTCTCCAAAAATCGGTATAAAAGTTAAAATTCATTCCCAAACATTAATGTATAGACAAATGTCTCCATAAAATGCTATTTGTCGCAAAGGTTATGAACGATTGAGGTTCTACGCGTAAAATGTAGTTGCTGTTATACTCTTATACTATGTATATTTTACCAAATCTTTCAATGTATCACAGTTCAAAGGTTATATATCTCTTTACATCTATAGTAAGATTCCACTTGACATGTTCTTAATTTTATTAAAAAAAAACCGACAGATTGCATATAAACATAAGTTTGTCCCTCTAATGAACCCAAATGCTCTCTTGATTTTGCCATTTGATTACGGACTTTCCGTTTTGAATTTTCCTCGGAGTTCCGTATTTTTGTTATTTTACTTTTTTCTTAACACAGATCTTATTGTGCTATACCCACAATCCAAATGGATAACAATGTTCGCTGCTAAAAGAAATCTAAATCAATATATAGTAGCAATTATACGATATGAAATTAGACAAGACTGAAAACAAATTCTGAACCTAATATTATTTTCAAATCCTAAAGTCTATACACTAAAGATTGTTCATGCGAATAAAGAAGATGTAGCAAATGAATATGTATCTGGGTCAAGGTATCCTTTTAAGATCTCAATTCTCTCATTTTAAATCTCGACAAGTGGTCTAGGAATGGCTATCAAACAGAAAAAAATCAGTAAAGGAGAAGCCTTTACTTTTATCATAAAGATATACTATAAAACAATAACAAACACCGGAAAAACATAACAAATCTGTTGAGATAGTTGTACACACAATATGATGTCTTGTCTCTTTTGTAGATTAAATTCATTTTTTATATAGATTAGACCGTTGGCTTTCCTGTTTGAATGGTTTTACACTAGTCATTTTTGGGGCCCTTTACAGCTTGCTGTTCGGTGTGAGCCAAGGCTCTGTGTTGAAGGCCGTACTTTGACCTATAATGGTTTACTTTTACAAACTGTGACTTGGAGGGAGAGTTGTCTCATTGGCACTCATACTACATCTTCTTATATCGACATATGTAACTTTACCTTCCATAGTATCACACAGTGTCCCTTCAAAACCTGGATCACATTGACATCTAAATTCTCCTGCTTCGCATTCTTTACACACTCCATTGATACATGGAACAGGAATGCAACCTTTGTGAAAAAAACCTGTATTATAGTTTGTCTATAATAATGATTTCATTTGTTTTTCGTGTAATAAACGTGTAAACGGTAAGACAGATGTTTGACATTTTCATATGCAAAATATCGAATCAGTAAGATTGTAAAAGGCGTACGATAGCAATTTTTTTATTGAAGGCGTCTAGAAAATGTCAAGTATTTGAAAGTTGTTTCTTAACTGGATTAAAAATTATGGATTTTGTGTAGTTAGTTCATTTTTCCATCCGTTTATATTTTTCTTATGCTATTTCAGTTCGCAATGCTTTAAACAAATGTTGATTCTTACTGTATAAGGTAAATGTTATGTAGTTACTGTAACATCTTACAGAGAGGTTAAAGTTAAATTGTTATACTGAAACACTATCAATAACTTGATAACAAAAGTTAACAAAATTAATTTAATTGACTTACAGTGCATCCGATTAAAAAGGGATTCATCATATTTACCACAGTTACATTCAAAATAAATCAAATATGTAAAAATGATATAAAAAACGTCCTTAAATATATAACTTTTCAGCAAACGAAAAACTACCGGAAGAAAGTCTGTGTTTTTCTTGGACAGTGATTGATTATTTAATGAGTAATGACTGACTGTCCTGTCTGCTGGCTAACTGTAAGTCCCCGAGGGTATCATCAGACCTGTATCCAGTACTTTGGTGCTGGCATGAAAATACGATTTTTTTTTAAATTTCCTATTACCAAATTTAGGAAACTAATCTAAATTAAGGAATATATATCTCCCTGATACCAAACTCTGATTCATACCCCTGATTTTGGTTATACATTTTGTCCTTTTTATAAGCTGTTCATTTTTTTAAATTTTGGATTTTCAAATATTTTGGTTTCCAGCATCAAAATCTACTACAAGTTTGTAGTTTAAACTACAAATGATATTCAAACATGCCTACCCTAAATGGGGTTTAATAATTATAGAGTACCTTTATGGACAGTGTTTGCTCTAAGAGAAAAACCTTTATCGGCAGGATGGTTCTTTCCATAAACACTATCAAATATCAACAACATTAAGTTTTGTTCGCCCCACGAAGATGTTGTCCACACATCACCGGCAGTTGTACCACATTTCCTTAAATAGACACAACGAATTTGACAAATACATATGAGTAGACGATTAGGTTTGTAGGGTTTCAATAAAATATAACATATAGACTTTTAGGCGTGTAAGGATTGCATAAAATGTTACATAGACTCTGAGGCGTATAAGGATTTCATAAAATGTAACATAGACTCTTAGGTGCATAAGGTTTCCATAAAATGTGACATATAGACTCTTAGATGTATAAGGATTCAATAAAATATAATATATAGACTCTTAGGTGAATAAGGATTCCATAAATTGTAACATATAGACTAATAAGTGTATAAGGGTACCATAGAATATAACATATAGTACACTATGTGTATAACGATGCCGTGAAATATAATAATGTAAAAAATATTTATACAACGCACAGTGAAGGAACAGAATTCATGTGCATAAACGATATCACTGTAGATCTTAAAAAATTCTTCTCCGAATTGTAAGTAAAAATTACATTATAATCAAGAATTTATAGAAATGATATTAAATATTTACCTTACACCTGTTTGGCCAACCAGGTTATACCGGACCTCCAACCAATGATAACACTTATTATTATTAACCACTGGCAAATGAAAGACATCAACATTCACTCTGACATGTAAATTCTCTGGAGCCTATGGAAAAGAAGATAATTTGTAAAGTAATAGATGTTTTCTCCGTCCAAATAAAATTGTAAACTCTTAGAAAGCCAGGGATTCCTTTTTATTTTTTCCCAATTAAAAGTATAGTGTTTAAAAGCAAAACGTCTTATTATTGTTTCTTCTGTTTTCGTTTTATGATTGTTTTTGGCGATGTTAAAGTATTTCAAAGTTAAAATAGCAACGGAACATATTGATTGCTTTAACTTTTACATTAAAATCTTTAATAGAAAGTTTGAAAGACATTGACTTTTATTTCCCATGAACTACACATTTAAAACATTTAACTGTTAAAATTATTGTTTAATGTTCGGACGCTAGAACAAATACTCCAATATATAGTGAGGGTTCTGTAACAATTCCAACTATATCACATTGATTAACTTTACATTAAAATTGCTTCTTATTGTGTACTTTTACTGTACCAACAACTCTGTAAACGGTGTCCTCTATGAAATAAGCCTTAGCGTTCTCGGTGTGTTGTGATTTTCAACAACAAACGACAACGATATATTGAGTTTAGTATGATTATTTTGTTTTTTATAATGTTTCTTCATTTTTTTATAACATGATATATATTTATTAAATGCATATTTGGATTATTATAATAATAAAATTTGAAAGCATTTTGTCTGAATTGAATGAACGTCAAATAAAATTCCAATATTTAATGACAATTGAAATGATATATTTTAGAAGAAGTTTGCATTTATTAATTGCATATTTGGATTGTTATAATAATAAAATTTGAAAGCATTTTGTCTGAATTGAATGAACGTCAAATAAAATTCCAATATTTAATGACAATTAAAATGATATATTTTAGAAGAAGTTTGCATTTATTAATTGCAGATTTGGAATATTACAATAATAAAATTTTAAAGCATTTTGTCTGAATTAAATGAACGTAAGATAAAATTCCAATATTTAATGGCAATTAAATTAGAAAATATTGTTACAAATGACACGCATGAATTAATCCTTCTTTTAAATAAATTATCTTTGATAACAAACAAGCATGATCCATGATATTGCTGTATACTGTTACATGGAACGAATATTCATAGTCAGTTTAGTTTGCAAGTTCACTGTGACTTCATGTTCATAATCTGTTAGAGTGTACTGTGCCTTCACGTTTTTGTGTGCAGTGACTTCGTGTTATAGTAACAATTTACAACAGCAGCTACCAGTTTTCATATCTTAGTGTTATCATATTGGTTTGTAGTTTAAACTTTACTATATCCTTACCTAGCAAACTGTCAATCAGTCGATGTATACTATTGATTTATAGTTATATTGCACTAGAGACATCGTTTTAAATAATATACACACAAATGTCATGTATTTCCTCCTTACAAGGCCAGAAACAAAAAGCATACACACATTTAAATCAATGCAAATATTATAATGTCTCTGTATTTCATCTATCCAAGAATATGGGGTTGGAATACAGTTAAAAAATGTGAAGGAATATGGGATCAGTTCAAGTTTTGTATAAACCAATTGTATATGTATGTACTGACACCATAAACTATATCCATTTTCAGTTATGGATTGTGGAGAAAATCCCATTAAAAGTCATTTACATCTTTCAAATTCGAAGAAAAATGATGAGCGAGTAGTTGAAAATGTGGAAAATTACATATAGGAAAAAAGACGGACAAGGACGAACAAACGGACCAGACAAAACAAAAAATAAAAATAAAAAAACAAATATTTCGTTTGAAAACTGATTCTTTAAAACCAAAGTAAAGTCTTCAACTGCATATCTTTATATGACACAATGGTACCGCAAAATTTAATATAAAGAAAGACAAAACAAAACAAGAATAAACTAAACAGATACAATAAATGCTTCATGTCACAAACAACAGATTCTTAGTAAAACTAATAAAGGTCAAATGAGTGCAACCCGATATTAAGTCTTAAAGGACTAGAGCTACCAAAGCATAATCACTTTTGTAAAGAAATAGAACTACAATACATTTGTTGAACAACAAGTCACAGTACATTCACAATTGATATGTACAAGAAGTCACAGTACACGTGAATGAAATGACCGCGAAGTCACAAAACACTTGCAGACTTAACCAACTATAATACATTCATTCCATGTAAAAGTATACAGCAATATCAAGGTTCATGTTTGTTTCATTTCAGAGATAAATGATTTTAAATTCATGCTTTGAAATTTGTAACAATATTTGCTAATCAAAATGTCAAAAATCTTTGAACGTGATAGGATGTTCAGACACTACATCCAAACATTTCTTTAATGTTATAATTATTTCTATGCAAATATGCAATTAATGTTTGCAAAATTAATTCTTTAAAATATCATGTTATTAAAAAATGAAGAATCAATGTAAAAAACAAATATACATTCGAGCGTCACTTATGAGTCTTTTTGTAGACGAAACGCGCGTCTGGCGTATACAAGTTTAATCCTGGTATCTATGATGAGTTTATATACATACCAAACTGAATGTGCTGTTGTTATGTGGTGTTGAAAAATAGAAGTCACAGTACACCGAGAACGAGAAGGCACATTTCTTAGAGGACACCATTTACATAGTGTGATACCTGTAAGAAACCGATTTGGTGCGAGATAACTGCATCATTAAGTGTTTTGGGATGAACAATGGTATTTCGTATTTCTTTTTCTAGATAATTGTTTCAATCGTATATAATACTTTTCTATGGTCGAAAGAATATTTGCGGTATTATGATAATATATAGCCTCTCCTATTTTCATGGTCGCCCAACATTCGTTAATGATAAACAGGATTTTTAAAAACCAAATTTTCGTTCATGGTGGATGTCAGGCTTTTGTATGGATTTATGAGATAAAGACATCGGTAAATTACGTTTGCCTCTAATTTATTTTACGTAATATTATCAGTAAAACTTACTTACCCGTAATAACCAGACACATTTTGTATCAAGTTTGTAACTATCTGGATAATTGGGTGTTGTAATAGTGGTTTCCTGTCCTGCGTTAATATCAATTATTCCACCACATACTGAAACACAATTAATTATTAAGTGATGCCTAATCAATTGATATAACTTACCATCATAATGTATAGAAGTAACACGTCTATACATGTATTTATAACTGTTTGATTAAGAAATTAGGTGTTAACAATTGGCCTGGAAACCCAACATATACACTCACGACACTTTCTAAAGAGGAAATACTGATCAAATCGTAGGTTTGTTCCTTTGGAATTCCAAGCAAAAATAAGGGACCGAATCTTCCGTCACTCTACTGGATAATAAAATTAAGTAAATGCCCTTACATATAACGCTTTATTACTAGATCCGTAAAATGCTGACCAAAAGCTCCAATATTATCAACATTTATTGTATCAGCAATCGAAACCGGACTTAAGAGTTACTGGGAAACAGCCTTCTCTAGCGGTGGTGTGAATCAGATGTGAATATCAAACAGTTCTAAAGATCTGATAGTCTTACAATGATGATCTCTAGATTTTATTTTTGTTTTTGGTGATTTTATTGTATATCCTACATTTCCTTCATAGTAAACTCACCTTCCCCATTTATCACTGACTCACAAGTATCTCCTCCAAGTCCTTCGGGACATTTACAAATACATTGGAAGTTCAGAAAGCCACCATTTTGACATTTAGGTGGATTCACGCACTTATCTGTCAAAAGGAAAAATTTTTTTTAACATAAGTGTAATTTTCAATTAAACATTTTTAATCTGTCATTAGGATAATAAAATTAAATCACTTTATCTTGTTGTGCAGCTACTCGTCTTGAATATTTTTTCTCTACCAAATTGTATCTTTATAACACAATAATTACATTACATGTATGTTTGATTAGAATCCGTAATTATGATTTGCTGACAACAATAGGGAGGCACGCTTTTATCAGATTTTATTTTCGTATAAAATGCAACAGCTAAGACTGCACGTGCTATCCGTGACAGTGTTAATATAGTGCATAGAAAAACAAACGAAAAGCTTGATATGAATCTTAATTTCATGGTTGTAGCATAAAAATGTAATGATAAGATTTGAATACTTGTTTTTATAATTTTATAGGGTTGTAAAAGCGTTGAAAGTAAAACAGGAACAATTAAGAAGAGACAAGTAAATATTTGTCAACAGGCAAGCAAATAATTTAATTTGACTCTGCAGCGGTACTAATAAATTCGGGTTATGACTTAATGTATTTCTTCTAAGAAATATATATTTCAAAATTTATGTCAATAATTCTTTGTTGTTCTACCTGTACATCTGTATGCATCCGTTATATCTTTTATGTCATAATATGATAAATCACCACCATAATTTGTCAAGAACTTTAATTCAGGTTGTAAAACTTCCATGCCGCTCTGTAAAAAGACAAATGGAAAATCAACAAAGGTATTAAATTTGAAAGGCACAACTGATTTTTATATTTTCCTTTATGATATGTGTTACTGAGGGGTTGTTCCACCAGGGTTTTCGGTGTGGCAGACTAGTCAAGGCGTTTACTAAATTTCATCATCGGTACAAGGACATCATTCGTAAATGTATATCAACATGCAGACATCTTATGCGTTCAGGTATTTCACATTAAATCTTTTATGATAATATGCTATACAAAGCACAAAAAATGTCGGCACTCACCTCAAAAGCTTACAAAACCTTTAAACAGACTTATTCAGAAGGGATATAGTTACGATACTGTTGTCAGCTCATTAAAGATGGCATATTTGGGTATTAATATTGATTCACTCGTAGGGTCTTTGCATCGGAAATAAACACATTTATTCTAAAACCAGTTGTTGGCATAATACGGGTTATGTTCTTCTCATATATTTTATTATGGTATGATACTAAACACCTAACGGGAGGGATTGTGCTTGATTTTCATATGATGAAGACATAATCTTTCAATCAGTTTAATTGAAATCTGGAGCTGGCATGTCAGTAACTACTAGTAGTCCTTTGTTAATTTATGTATCATTGTCACTTTGCTTAGTTTCTTTTGTTACCTATTCTGACATTGGACTCGGACTCCTTTTAAACTGAGTTTTACTGTGCGTATTGATGTGTGTTTGTTTATTCTACTCAAAACATATTTAACCCCGCCGCATTTTTGCGCCTGTCCCAAGTCAGGAGCCCCTGGCCTTTGTCAGTCTTGTATGTGTTTTTCTATTTTAGTTCATTTATATGTTTTGGAGTTTAGTATGGCGTCCATTTTCACTGAATTAGTACACATTTTTGTTTAGGGGCCAGCTGAAGCCCACCTCCGGGTGCGGGATTTTCTCGCTGTGTTGAAGACCTAATGGTGGCCTTCGACTGTTTTTTGCTCTTTGGTCGGATTGTTGTCTCTTTGACACATTCCCCATTTCCATTCTGAATTTTATATCATCTGTACAAACATTTTATTTAATCAAAATAGTACATATATCTTCGTCCTTCGCATGAATGTAAACTTTCAGAAAAAAGTTTGAAAAGCAAAAACAAAAAAGAATTAAAAAAAAGAGAGGCGGAAGACACCCAGGAGGCAAATACTCGAAGAGAAACAGAAATCACCTGGCAAAGGCGAAAAACGACGAAACAGACATTATAGACAATAGGATAAGTTGTTACAGAAAGAGAGCTTCCCATTTACATTTGAAAAAAAAATGAAAATTAAGATTCCTGTACTGTTGAATTATATGGTTGATATCAAATTTACAAACTTTCACGACATCAAATGAATATCAGTCACAATACATACATACAGTACGAGGATAAAAGTAATTCCTTTTCAATATTTTTTTCCTGTTGATCGATACAAATTTGTACTTTTAAAAAAAAATGATATAGACTCATTTCTTTCACGATTTCTCTCAATTTTTCATCATTTTCATGGTGTTATAAAATTTTGGAAATTATCTTAAATTAAGGAAATATCTCCCTCATGGAAAGGTTTGATTTCTTGTCCGGATTTGGCTATAATTTATGTCCTTTTTGGTTTCATTAACTTTTCAACGTTTGTAACAGGTTTTGGATTCTCAAATATTTTAGCCTCGAGTATCGCCGAAAAGACATAAATTGTGGAAATGCGCATCTGGTGCCGTAAAATTGGTACCGTTAATGCTATAAACTTAGCCATTTGTATTGTTTTCTAAATAATTTGTGATCGTTTTGCTTAAATCCCAGTTTTCCAGAATTCGAAAGTTAAACTGAAATTTAATTTTTTGACGTAGTATTTAGTATATGTGGTCATATTGTGACTTCGAAACTAAAGTTTTCAACAAAAAAATGAACTCTTATAAAATACATAAGGGGAAAAATTTACTGCATACTGCAGACTCGAATCTTCAATAGAAACTACTTATAAGTCTGTATACTTTCATGACATAAATACGAAGCAATCTCTATTTAAAAACGATATGGCATACCAAAGTTCTGAAAGAGGATACCCAAAAGAAAGCTTTTGATAGTGATGACGTCGTTCTATGCCACAAGTTCTAGTTCAAGCAACGATACACATGATATATTTAAAAGAAATGTAGATTTGCCCAAAGGAGTTGTTCAAAAATTCATAAGTCGAAAATAAAACCCCAGAAAACATCATGACAAAAGGGAGAAACGTGCAGACAAAGAAAAACAAGCCAGAAAACCAAAGATTTTACGCAAAATTTGTCACAAAAATGAAAAAAATACGTAACCAGCCTTGCATTTCTTCTGAACATCATGCAATTTAAAAACAAATGTATTTTTATTTAAATGAAATTAATCAAACGTACCCCAGCGCCGTACTGCATAACTGATTCATAATCATATGGGTTATAGTTTCGTGTATCCATTTTACCATAGTTTGCATCACCCTTTGTCGACTCTCCCAGAATATCCCACCTCATATTTAAATGGTTATCTCTGTCAGTTCTGCTCTGTTCATGCCATTCACCTAATGCATGACCCATTTCATGGATAGCAACTCCAACCTTCAATCATAACAGTAGACTAAGTTACCGAAATAATTTTGGAATACAGCAGATTTAAAATTATTGATTTATTTTGTCATTAAAAAGAAATTCTTGATATATGTAATCATATGCATTGAAAGTAACTTGAGTATCAAACACATATATATGTATCATATATTTATATCCTTCATTTCCAAATGTTTAATCATTTTGCCTTTTAGCATATCATTTTACACTACTTTTATAATCCATGCATCTAGTTGTTTTAGACACACAGTTGTACTCAATATATTTTTAAATGTCTTCATTATAGAAACTGGAAGATACTTTAATATTATCAGAAATGAGCGTGTTTGTACTATGTGTGATAAAAACGCGATCGAAGATGAATATCATTTTATAAAGAGTGTGATAAGTATTTAAATGTCAGACGTAAATATATTAAGATATATTATTATAGAAATCCATCTACTTTCAAACTAGTTCAGTTGTTATCTGTAAGAACTATAAAGGAGTTAAATAATCTGGGTAGTTACCTTTATGAGGCAGAGAAAATTCATAACACTTTATTGTTTCTTGTGTACTGTTAATACCAATGTAAATTGTATGCCAAACTCCGCTACATGTTAGAAATTGTTTATGACATTAATGCTGTATATATAAACTGTATAAATTGTGTATATCTGTTTAATCCTATGAGCTGTATTCTTTTTTTAATTGGAAACGAAAACAAAACCATTGTGTTACGCTTTTCATATAAAGTTAGGTTTAAAAAGAATTTGATTATTGAAAATAGTAACAATGGAAAAGTGCAATTAGACATAACAGTACAATTTGGGATTCGGATGCAAGTTTCGAACAACTTTTACAAATCCGTTTCTCAATATATAAGTCTTGTACAATCTATTTTATTATAACTTTTTGTTTCCTAAAAGTATACCCCTGTCGCCCTATTGAATATAAAAGGAAATCTTCTTGATTAAGGTGGGGACGAGAGGACTTTATGCATATTTGGTTTTTTCTCATGACTGAAATTTGACAAATCTATAAAACTAAAAAAATAAGGAGGTCCAATTTGTTAGCCAGCATGACGTAAAAACGACAAACCAAAGAATTCAACTTTATATATAACTAATATAGGACAATGGCGTTGATTAAAGATTACACCATTCCAGGCCTTTTTGTTTACGACATAATTGATATTACCGAGAATTAACAAGTTTCGGGTCGAATCCGATACCGATACCAGTAGTATATGTCACATGTAGTTTCCGGTTGAATGTATGTATGTATGTTTTGTATCCCCCTCCTTACATAGGAGCACCCCTATAGGTTTTGGTGTAAGGATGACATTTAACACACTAGTAAAAAAACCAGGTCGGGTTCAAACAGAAAGATTTTGAAATGTGTTTGTAGATCTTACTTTACTGAACATTCTTGCTGCTTACAATTATCTCTATCTATAATGAACTTGGCCCAGTAGTTACAGTGGAAAATATTTTGTAAAAATTTACAAAAATTTTCAAAATTTATGAAAATTGTAAAAAAATGACTATAAAGGGCAATAACTCCTTAAGGGGTCAATTGACAATTTTGGTCATGTTGACTTATTTGTAGATTTTACTTTGCTGTACATTATTGCTGTTTACAGTTTATCTCTATCTATAATAATATTCAAGATAATAACCAAAAGCTGCAAAATTTTCTTAAAATTACCAATTCAGGGGCAGCAACCCAACAAAGGGTTGCCTGAGTGGTCTGAAAATTTCAGGGCAGATAGATCTTGACCTAATTAACAATTTTATCCTCGTCAGATTTGCTCTAAATGCTTTGGTTTTAGAGATATGAGCCAAAAAATGCATTTTACCCTATGTACTATTTTTTAGCCATGTCGGCCATCTTGGTTCGCGGGTGGGGTCATCGGACACATTTTTTAAACAAGATACCCTAATGATGATTGTGGACAAGTTGGTTAAATTTGTCTTAGTAGTTTCAGAGGAGAAGATTTTTGTAAAAGATTACAAAAATTTACGAAAAATGGTTAAAAATTGACTATAAAGGGCAATAACTCCTTAAGGGGTCAACTGACCATTTTGGTCATTTGACTTATTTGTAGATCTTACTTTGCTGAACATTATTGCTGTTTACAGTCTATCTCTATCTATAATAATATTCAAGATAATAACCAAAAACGGCAAATTTTCCTTAAAATAACCAATTCAGGGGCAGCAACCCAACAAAGGGTTGTCCGATTCATCTGAAAATTTCAGGGCAGATAGATCTTGACCTGATTAACAATTTTACCTCATGGCAGATTTGCTCTAAATGCTTTGGTTTCAGAGATATAAGCCAAAATCTACATTTTACCCCTATGTTCTATTTTTAGCCATGGCGGCCATCTTGGTTGGTTGGCCGGGTCACCGGACACATTTTTTTTAACTAGATACCCCAAAGATGATTGTGGCCAAGTTTGGTTTAATTTGGCCAAGTAGTTTCAGAGGAGAAGATTTTTGTAAAAGTTAACGACGACGGACAACGACGGGCGACGACGACGACGACGGACGCCAAGTGATGAGAAAAGCTCACTTGGCCCTTTGGGCCAGGTGAGCTAAAAAAACTATGCACCTTTAAATCAGCATGAATTTATCAGATGACAATACGAATACTAAAAAACAGGCTTAGATTAAGGTGTAGGTACTTTAATTCAGTCAGGTAACCGCGATGTCGCGGGTGTGTTCTAGTATACTATGAACAAATCAAACGCATACAATATTTTGTTTATTGTTAGAAAATACAAACCCATAAACACCCTGGCTGTCCTAAACTGATGGACTGTCCACCAAACACCTTTCCAACATAAGACCAGCAGCCTCTGTAATGAATAATATGTTGGAAAAAATCAAATTTATGTTAGTTATGCTAACATCTGCACAGTAATATACATTATTGTACTTCATGTCAAAATGCCAGATTTTGATTGGTTAATACGAGGGAGACAATTTACTTTATCCCATGGCAAATACTCTATTACCCTTCACGGAGACGCTTGCTAAAGTGTGCGCATTAATAAATACGGATGATTGTTATGTACAAGACGACATAGTTTATTACTTTGAATTTGAAATTTAATATACAGAACATTCAGTATAATAATTTAAATAACACATATCTGAGAGGGTGATAGAGCAGATTGTTACCCCTCGAAAAGACATTGTCAACCTTGGCTTCACCTCAGTTGACAATGTTTTCTCGGGGTAACAATCTGCTCTATCACCCTCTCAGCTATGTGTTATTTATATAATATATCTTTCTTTCTTTTTCATTGCTTTTTCGATAAACTCGATCTAATTGGAAAAAAAACATCACTATTAACAGTGCATCGTGATTCCATATACTAAGTAGTATGAAAATAAAGAGATGTGGTATGATTGCCAATGAGACAAATATCTACCAGATTTCACATAAATTCGAGCTTTCGTTTTTAAAAAATTAAGAAGGATCTTTAAAAATAAATACTTATTTTTAATTTTTACAGACTGAAAATTGAAAGAGCATGAAAGGAGTAAAACCCGTAGATATAAAGTCAAAATAAGAGTAAAGTAAGGACGAGTTTGCAAGAATCGAATTTTTTGCATACTGCATTTACGAGTTAAAAAAATTATACAAGTGAAGATAAAAAAAAAATGGATTTCCTTGAACGTAAGACCAACTAATCCAGATCATCATAATAAGTACAATGGCCTTACATGGTCAGGTTTTAATACTTCTTGTTTGTATTTTAAAAGACAGTAAAAGTTGTAATGGCACTAGTATTTGATATGGTTTATGGAGCGTTTATTTCTTGGGTGCGCACATGTTCATTGTATTGCAAAAATATACATTAAAGTTGATGTAAAACAAGGACAATCCAGAAATTTTACAAAACATACAAATGTAATCATGGTTTGTTGTCATGGTTACCATTATAAATGTTTTTTTTAAACATCTTGTATCTTTGTATAGTTAGAACAAATTTAAGATTATGTATATGGTAATTTTTTAATTTGCACTAATATTTGGGTCAAATAAAGGCCTATTTGCCCGTACTCTTTGCTGAAATTGACTAAGAGTTTCAACTGCCGGAAAATCTGTAAAAATTCTCAAAATGTGTACACGAAGAATTGTTCGCATTTTCAATGAACATACACATATTCTATGAAGCTCTCTGTTAAAAATTTTATGAAGAATTGATTACACAAAATTTTCATCATTGTTTCCCACCAAACCGGACATTCACCTTTGTACATAGTGGAATACAGTTAATAGAAATGAGTTTATTCTTTTGACGTACAGCTTTACAGAACGAACTTACTAGAATAAATAGCTAAACTTACCCGCTACTTACGAAATTAACCCATCCAGTGTGCCCTAGTTCTTCTTCTAGAGTCTTTGTATGAGGAAGAAATTGTATACATGTGGTTTCGTTAAATCTTTTAATAGCTTCTTCGATTACAGGTATAGCTCTTTCGTGTGCTAAATAATAGTATGAAACTATATTGCCTCAATTTTCTGCATTTGAAGTCATTATTTTCCAATCGAATAATATGAATATCTTATCTAATTTGAAACGAAAAGAGAGTGTGGCTGGATACTAGTATATAAAAAGTTGATTACTTTGACCTGACAGAGAATAAAACTTTCTATTTCTATTAACAAAATACTAATATATCCTTCTAGTTACTGATCACTGTAGTGAGGGTTATACTGCGGTCGAAAGAAGACCAAGAGTCATCATATTTTTATTCTCCAATTACCCTTGGGGTGTTTCAGAGGAGAAGATTTTGGTAAAAACTAACAGAAGTACAGATAAGATATGAGACGTACATTAACTTGTATAAAAAAAACTTCTTACTAAGTGAAGTTGTGTTGATTTCATAAGGTACAATGCCACCTGGCCACAGATTATTTCCTGCCGTAAATGCTCTTTGTGAAACAATACCATGACCTTCACTGGGCTGAAATAAATATAAAATATGATTTAGATATTTTTTAATAATCACAATGAAAAAGATATGTTTTTAAGTTGCATGCATGGGAACAGTTTAAATGTTAAAAAATGTTTGCTCTTGGTTTCTTATAAATATTTAATTACTTCATGTAAAACCAAGGTTTAATTTTTTTTGGTAAAACAAATAATTTCTTTTGGCAAAAAAGCAGGCATCATTTTATTGTTGAAAAGCAAAATGATTAGATTTTATCATCAATTATATACCTTTTCTGATTCCAGACCAAGTTCCACTTTTTGTTGATGTGTCAGCATATGTTTATCTTGTTTATCTGCCTTGGCTTTATATCCATCTTCCGGATGTATGCCATTAGCCTGTAAAAAAGTTCAAACGTTGTATCATTTACAATGTAAGAATATTGGATATATGAAAAGTTATGATAAAAAAACTGATGTGGAAAATTTTAAAGTAAATGTCTCTTGTTTTGAAAGCAATTAAAAATATATAATATACACTTTATTTTGAAAACTAATATTATTCCAAACGTATATGCCTTGAAGATTTTGTTTTATACTGAATTTTACAAAAGTACAAAAAAAAGGAAGATATACATAAGACTAAATTTTCGATGAACAATAATTTGTTTTAACATATAGACTGTCCAATAAAAAATTTGTTTTGTTATAGCATGTATATAGGATAAACTTTGTTATCGTATTAAGATCTAAACAGTTATATTTGTTTGTATTATATTTGTTATATTACCAATAATATCTGACCATCTCGTAGAACTTGGAAACTTTCAGCTAATTCCATGAATCTGGAATTCGGATCGACATACTGCAATAAAAATTAAAAAAATATCAAACAGGATAACAATTTGATGTTCATGGCGGTAATGGTTGACGTAGTAGGTTTGACCGTCTTTGTGGGTTTTGTTAAACAGGATAAACAATTTGATGTTCATGGCGGTAATGGTTGAGGTAGTAGGTTTGACCGTCTTTGTGGGTTTTGTTAAACAGGATAAACAGTTTGATATTCATGGCGGTAATGGTTGAGGTAGTAGGTTTGACCGTCTTTGTGGGTTTTGTTAAACAGGATAAACAATTTGATATTCATGGCGGTAATGGTTGAGGTAGTAGGTTTGACCGTCTTTGTGGGTTTTGTTAAACAGGATAAACAATTCGATATTCATGGCGGTAATGGTTGACGTAGTAGGTTTGACCGTCTTTGTGGGTTTTGTTAAACAGGATAAACAATTTGATGTTCATGGCGGTAATGGTTGAGGTAGTAGGTTTGACCGTCTTTGTGGGTTTTGTTAACCAGGATAAACAATTTGATATTCATGGCGGTAATGGTTGAGGTAGTAGGTTTGACCGTCTTTGTGGGTTTTGTTAAACAGGATAAACAATTTGATGTTGATGGCGGTAATGGTTGAGGTAGTAGGTTTGACCGTCTTTGTGGGTTTTGTTAAACAGGATAAACAATTTGATCTTCATGGCGGTAATGGTTGACGTAGTAGGTTTGACCGTCTTTGTGGGTTTTGTTAAACAGGATAAACAATTTGATCTTCATGGCGGTAATGGTTGACGTAGTAGGTTTGACCGTCTTTGTGGGTTTTGTTAAACAGGATAAACAATTTGATGTTTATGGCGGTAATGGTTGACGTAGTAGGTTTGACCGTCTTTGTGGGTTTTGTTAAACAGGATAAACAATTCGATATTCATGGCGGTAATGGTTGAGGTAGTAGGTTTGACCGTCTTTGTGGGTTTTGTTAAACAGGATAAACAATTTGATCTTCATGGCGGTAATGGTTGACGTAGTAGGTTTGACCGTCTTTGTGGGTTTTGTTAAACAGGATAAACAGTTTGATATTCATGGCGGTAATGGTTGAGGTAGTAGGTTTGACCGTCTTTGTGGGTTTTGTTAAACAGGATAAACAATTTGATGTTCATGGCGGTAATGGTTGAGGTAGTAGGTTTGATCGTCTTTGTGGGTTTTGTTAAACAGGATAAACAATTCGATATTCATGGCGGTAATGGTTGACGTAGTAGGTTTGACCGTCTTTGTGGGTTTTGTTAAACAGGATAAACAATTCGATATTCATGGCGGTAATGGTTGAGGTAGTAGGTTTGACCGTCTTTGTGGGTTTTGTTAAACAGGATAAACAATTTGATGTTCATGGCGGTAATGGTTGAGGTAGTAGGTTTGACCGTCTTTGTGGGTTTTGTTAAACAGGATAAACAATTTGATGTTTATGGCGGTAATGGTTGACGTAGTAGGTTTGACCGTCTTTGTGGGTTTTGTTAAACAGGATAAACAATTTGATCTTCATGGCGGTAATGGTTGACGTAGTAGGTTTGACCGTCTTTGTGGGTTTTGTTAAACAGGATAAACAATTTGATCTTCATGGCGGTAATGGTTGACGTAGTAGGTTTGACCGTCTTTGTGGGTTTTGTTAAACAGGATAAACAATTTGATGTTTATGGCGGTAATGGTTGACGTAGTAGGTTTGACCGTCTTTGTGGGTTTTGTTAAACAGGATAAACAATTCGATATTCATGGCGGTAATGGTTGACGTAGTAGGTTTGACCGTCTTTGTGGGTTTTGTTAAACAGGATAAACAATTCGATATTCATGGCGGTAATGGTTGAGGTAGTAGGTTTGACCGTCTTTGTGGGTTTTGTTAAACAGGATAAACAATTTGATGTTCATGGCGGTAATGGTTGAGGTAGTAGGTTTGACCGTCTTTGTGGGTTTTGTTAAACAGGATAAACAATTTGATGTTTATGGCGGTAATGGTTGACGTAGTAGGTTTGACCGTCTTTGTGGGTTTTGTTAAACAGGATAAACAATTTGATCTTCATGGCGGTAATGGTTGACGTAGTAGGTTTGACCGTCTTTGTGGGTTTTGTTAAACAGGATAAACAATTTGATCTTCATGGCGGTAATGGTTGACGTAGTAGGTTTGACCGTCTTTGTGGGTTTTGTTAAACAGGATAAACAATTTGATCTTCATGGCGGTAATGGTTGAGGTAGTAGGTTTGACCGTCTTTGTGGGTTTTGTTTAACAGGATAAACAATTTGATCTTCATGGCGGTAATGGTTGACGTAGTAGGTTTGACCGTCTTTGTGGGTTTTGTTAAACAGGATAAATAATTTGATGTTTATGGCGGTAATGGTTGACGAAGTAGGTTTGACCGTCTTTGTGGGTTTTGTTAAACAGGATAAACAATTTGATCTTCATGGCGGTAATGGTTGACGTAGTAGGTTTGACCGTCTTTGTGGGTTTTGTTAAACAGGATAAACAATTTGATGTTTATGGCGGTAATGGTTGACGTAGTAGGTTTGACCGTCTTTGTGGGTTTTGTTAAACAGGCTAAACAATTTGATCTTCATGGCGGTAATGGTTGAGGTAGTAGGTTTGATCGTCTTTGTGGGTTTTGTTAAACAGGATAAACAATTTGATGTTCATGGCAGTAATGGTTGAGGTAGTAGGTTTGACCGTCTTTGTGGGTTTTGTTAAACAGGCTAAACAATTTGATCTTCATGGCGGTAATGGTTGACGTAGTAGGTTTGACCGTCTTTGTGGGTTTTGTTCAACAGGATAAACAATTCGATGTTCATGGCGGTAATGGTTGAGGTAGTAGGTTTGACCGTCTTTGTGGGTTTTGTTAAACAGGATAAACAATTTGATGTTGATGGCGGTAATGGTTGAGGTAGTAGGTTTGACCGTCTTTGTGGGTTTTGTTAAACAGGATAAACAATTTGATATTCATGGCGGTAATGGTTGACGTAGTAGGTTTGACCGTCTTTGTGGGTTTTGTTAAACAGGATAAACAATTTGATGTTTATGGCGGTAATGGTTGAGGTAGTAGGTTTGACCGTCTTTGTGGGTTTTGTTAAACAGGATAAACAATTTGATGTTGATGGCGGTAATGGTTGAGGTAGTAGGTTTGACCGTCTTTGTGGGTTTTGTTAAACAGGATAAACAATTTGATCTTCATGGCGGTAATGGTTGAGGTAGTAGGTTTGACCGTCTTTGTGGGTTTTGTTAAACAGGATAAACAATTTGATCTTCATGACGCTAATGGTTGAGGTAGTAGGTTTGACCGTCTTTGTGGGTTTTGTTAAACAGGATAAACAATTTGATCTTCATGGCGGTAATGGTTGAGGTAGTAGGTTTGACCGTCTTTGTGGGTTTTGTTAAACAGGATAAACAATTCGATATTCATGGCGGTAATGGTTGAGGTAGTAGGTTTGACCGTCTTTGTGGGTTAGGATAAACAATTTGATGTTTATGGCGGTAATGGTTGACGTAGTAGGTTTGACCGTCTTTGTGGGTTTTGTTAAACAGGATAAACAATTTGATGTTTATGGCGGTAATGGTTGACGTAGTAGGTTTGACCGTCTTTGTGGGTTTTGTTAAACAGGATAAACAATTTGATCTTCATGGCGGTAATGGTTGAGGTAGTAGGTTTGACCGTCTTTGTGGGTTTTGTTAAACAGGATAAACAATTTGATCTTCATGGCGGTAATGGTTGACGTAGTAGGTTTGACCGTCTTTGTGGGTTTTGTTAAACAGGATAAACAATTTGATGTTTATGGCGGTAATGGTTGACGTAGTAGGTTTGACCGACTTTGTGGGTTTTGTTAGGGAAGTGACCTTTAGATATTTCTTGTTTGAATGCGTCTTGGAATTTTTCTTATTTTTCTATATTTTCAATTTTTTTTCTTGTTGAGCTTTATCCGGACATTTTGCTTTTATTTTTCCGGTCATGTGTTTTGATTTCAAAATCCCCACCTGTGTCCAAAGGACTAAACAGTTGCTGCATACGAACATTATATGATGATACATATAACTATAAACATGTAGATTTTATATTCCATATCACCATAAGTTCCTTTACGTAAGACTACACACTAGTACTTGTTACAGTGCATCAATACTGAGCTGTGAAGAATACATTATTGCTTCAGTGCAAAGTATGCACCTGTCTAATAGAGGTAAATACTAGTTAACTGTAATAGAGGTAAATACTAGTTAAGTATAAAAGAGGTAAATTCTATAATAGTTTATTGCAATTCAAGCAAATACTTGTATACTGTTCTCAAAATAGATATTAATAGTGAACGAAACAAAACTATCAAAATCATTGTAATAATGTTATATTAATAATAGCACTGAAAATAAGCACCTACCTCGTTTTCCAATTGTTGTATGTTTAAATTTGATCTTCTATCACCCTGTCGTTTTAAGTTCTGTAATTGAATTTTCAGACAATGTTAGTATAGGAAAATAGCTTTAAATTAAAGTATGATAGAAAAAACAAACTCTATTCTAAATTTCTACCAGTTTACACAACAGAGCATTTCAAATTGTGTTTGCGGATGAAGGTATCACTTCAGCTAGTGCGTGTGTATGCAAAACAAAAACAATTACATTCATTGGTTTCTTCAAAATCTTTTTCTATATGAATTATATCCTCTCATTAAATACTATGAATATGAATGAAATAATTGTAATATGAATGATTGTAGATGTGAGGTATACGCCAATGAGATAGTGAGCCAATGACACAAAAAACAAAGACAGGTAAATGTGCACTCTTCAACAATAGAGATATGTTTATACAAGTATCAAGCTCTAAATAGCCCATTCTTAGACATGTGAATGAATAAATCGAAGTATACCAAGTACATGCCATAAACACTACCTTCTCCATTGAAGAAAAACCCACTTCACAGCAGATTTAATTACGCAAGGTTGTTAACAGTACACGAAGACTTAAAAATGTAATACCCAGAACAAACCT